GAAGGGACCTGGGAAGGGATAAGGAAGAGATCAAAGAATACATTACACAGTCTGAACTGAGTCCCCTGTTCCTCTAGGAACAACGAGGAGGAGGAGATATGTAGTAGAAGTTGGCTATTTTAATCACCTCCCATTTACCCTGTTGGAGAGGAAGGGATCCTGCTTTAGGATTATGCAGATGGCCAAACATATGACAGCTGACACTGGATGGATGAGATTGACAGCAATTTATTAATCACATATACTCACAGGATGGGGGACAAGAGCACTGCATACCATGTAGGGCCACATGGAGGGTGCAGTTGGGAACAGACTAAATAAGTAGGGGCTGCATGAAGCAGACTTTGTAGTTTCAAGAGGGTGAGGTGACCCAAGTTATTATGAGAGAATGTGAGTGGCTTCTTTGAATAATTCTGTAGATTGTCAGAGAAGTAAAGCTCACTACTCAGGGATAAGCAGGAACTGTGCCTGATTTTCTTAATAAGAAGGGTTGTTTGGCTGGGAGCAGAGTAAGGAGGGAAACTGGTGGTGAGGGCATCTGAGGCCCTTCAAGTTTTACCAGATGCCAAGGCAGCACTTAATATTGGGCATTAATTTTAAGCCTTATACCTCAGTTGAACCCTTGATATCTTGACGTCAATTTAAACCTTGAAACTGCCTCCCTAAGAAGTAAAGTAGGCATCTGACAAGGAAGGAGAGGACCACAATTGTTATAATAACTATTATGGGATCTGGAAACCTGTGAAGAGCTATTGTCTGCATTTGACAGGGGGCAGCCAAGAGAAGAGATCTGTGGTTTCCAGGACTCTTGATGTGTTCTTTAACACTGGCATAATATCAATTACATTAATCTTAGTTTTTATTTAATTGAGGTGCTGTTTCACTTGCCTAGTATTATTGATCCATATACAATTAATTTCCCTGAAACTAAAATACTCCTTGAGCAGTTAATAAATAGTCAAAAGCTAGGTGGTTTTCTATTGCCATCTGGGCCAGAGAGCCTTGGCTGTTAGTTAAGAGGTGCAGGACTGGGGAGGCTTTTGCATGTATAAGATGGAGCCATGGCCATTTGCTTCTTGGTGGTAGCTGGTTTTTGAAGGCTGGTGTAATCCAGGGGTGCTTAGTGCTGTAGTGATGGTGCCCAATACGGTGGTGGCCCCCATGAACAACAGAATCAAGAATAGAGCTCTCTTTATTTTAAGGAATTTGAGGAGGGTTTGTAGAAACTACATAATCAGTTGGAGAGATTTTATCATTCCTGGGACCCTATTTAAATGAGCTCTCCATTCTTGCCATTTTTAAATGGGGTTGACTATTCAGTTGCCATGGGTAGCATTTCCCAAAATTATTTGCAGGAGCCAGGCTCAGTGACAGGGGGTCTCATGATGTTCCATGTGTGGTTGTGGCAATAGCTGGATTGTATAGTCAGAAACTGGGGATTGCACATGAGAGCTCAGCATAACAGTAAAGCCACAAGCCACAATAAAGGCATACAATGACATCTTGTGTTTTGTTTTATTTTTTAAAATTTCTCTGGGGCTTGCATAATGATTCCTGGGGCCATTGGGTCTAGCTGCGGGTGATTATTTCTGCACTTTCCCTCAACATATATACTACTATTTGAGTAGAAATAAGAAGTGAGAAAAAAGAAAATAATGAAGTTATTTATCTTTTCTAATCTCATAACCAAGAGATTTCCAATGGTTTGCCGACAAGACTTTTTGAATATCACAATTTCCCTTTCATTTTTTGTTTCGTTCTTCTTGTTGAAGCAGCATGATAACCTAAAGGGAAAGCACACACACCTGGAGAGGTTCCAAAGACACCTGTAAGGTGTATGGTCAGCATTGACTTCTGACTCAGGGTGCTTGAAAAAATACAAGTGTTTACCTCACCTCCTTCCCCAAATCTCAATTAAAGAATGAAAATATAGAAGCAAATATAAATCCAATGCAGTACTGATTGTCACTGGGATTAGGTGTGGGTCGCCTGGTGTCAACGGGTCAGAGAAAATATTTTCTATTTCTATTTGGTCTCTATCTAGAGAAAGAGATTACTGGTGAAATGTAAAAGAGCATAGTTTCACATCATTAATAATGGGAATTTTTCTTAGACTTTTTGGCCAACTCTGGCTAGATGCAGTGGAGGCTGGAAGGTGGTGCAGGTAGAAGGCCACATGCAAGGGAATTCAATAAGCTGTAGAACCTCAGAGGCCATCTGCCATCTAGGACAAAGCCAGGATAAGTGCTCTATAAAAGGAGATTCCAACCCAGAAGAATGAAGGCAATGCCCAGGAAACTCTCTGGACAGGACAAAGATGCACCCCAGACACAGAAGGCAGCTTCCCCATAACCTGCCCTGGCCTGCTTCCCTCATTCCCTCCTTCACAAAATCCTTGGAGGCAGGGTTCCTGGTTCTAGAATCTGTACCCACTCTTTCTCATTATATGACTGTTTTTTAAGTGGTACGAAGACAATCTATGGTAAACAGTCTATGGATACTCCTCAGTTTACAATGGGGTTAGGTCCCAAGAATCTATCATAGGTGAAAATACCATGAAGTTGAAAATCCATTTAATGCACCTAACCTACCAAACTTCATAACTCAGCCTAGCCTGCCTTAGACATGCTCAGAATACTTATGTTAGCCTACGGTTGGGCAAAATCATGTAATACAGAGTCTATTTTATGATAAAGTGTCAAATGTCATGAAATTCATTGAATATTATTCTGAAAGTGAAAAACGGAATGATTGTATAGGCACTTGAAGTATGGTTTCTCCTGACTGCATACTGCTTTCATGGCCATCACAAAGTCAAAAAATCATAAGCTGATCCATTGTAAGTAGGCTACTGTCTGTACTATAACACTCAAATAATTACTTCCATCTCTAGAATACTTAATTCCAGCGCTGCTTAAGTATGCCTAGAACTCATAAGATGCTGATTATCATACGCTTAATAAAAAATATGCATACACACATACACACATGTATACTTCAAATAGTTTGTGGAAAAATATAATAAGAGATAATGAGAATCTTTCCATTAACTTTTTGAAGACCCTCGTGTGTGTGTGCATGTATATCAGGAGTGTATTCTCTGTAAATAACAGAAAATCCCAAAACAGTGACTTATAAGAGCCTATGGAATAAGCGTCCAACTCAGTTTAGCCTCTGAATGATGCCAGCAGGTTCTTCTCACCCTTCCGGTCACCTCATGGTCCGAAGATGGCTGTTTCACCTCCCTTTCTCAGTGTCTGTTTTCAGGCCGGAAAAGAAGGGGAAACAAGAAGGCTTAACGCTCACTCAGGAAAGCAAATACTCTGCCAGAAACCTCCACACTTGTGTTGATGTTGTATTGGCCAGAACTGTGTCACATGGACACTTCTACCAGCAAGAGACATTGGGAAAACACGTCTAGAACTTACAGCGCTGAGAGTCACTGCTCTTGTACCTACAATGACTCATTCAAAGACGTTATCTGTATCTATTAACCTTTACCATTCAGATTAACTCCCACTAGAACTGGATTCAAAGGATATAGTGAAACCAAACAAAGAGGGATTTGCAATCATGTAGGCCAGTTGGAATCTCAGTTCCAGAGTCAGCCACCTGTATTGATGGGCACATTTATTTTTTCTCTTTAAAAAGGTTTCTTTGTTTTTTTGTTTTATTTTATATTTGTAACTGAGAGATTGTTGAGTTATTACAAAGCTACCCTAACTTCTTCCAAGTCTCCAATTTACTGGTGGAGGTGAGCTAATATGAGTAGATTATGAACACAAGCAAAAAATGTTTGAAAAAATGGATCTATTTGTACTTAAAAGTTTACTGTACATCTAAAACGGTTGTTTAATGAACATATTACCTTAATTATGTTGAATTATTTTAAATTTAAATTAGAAATCACCTCTTACCAAATACAGTAAACATTGGACACAGAAAAAGAAAATCCATATAATTTTGGTGCTGTAACTTGTTACCGAAATATTCTTTCTGGGATTGTGGGATTCCACTGCTTTTTCTTTTCTTTTCTGGTTTGTTTCTGTGCATGTGAGTGTTCTCCAGTCTCTAGAAATATAGAATACAATCTCAAGCGAAAATAATCACATAACTGGATGTAATCAAACCATCTCCCAGAAGAGTGGAAGGAAAGTCCAATGGAGAAAGTGTGTTGTAAATGTAATTTATTACTGTACAAGCCTAAAGTGATGTTACTAGAAAATTAATTTTTTTAAACCAGGATTTAGATGAAAAGTAATCAGCTTTCCGTCTCTCGTCAACAATTTACCCATTCATCCATTATAGTTTTATGGATTGAAACACCAGGCACTATTATACTATTAATGTAACTATAATCTTATTTAGATTAGAAGGTTATGCAGCAAATGTTTACTCTGAAAAACTTTGGGTTGTGAGAATATGGATGATCTCAAGTTTTATTTTTGTCCATGTTACTTATTAGTATAACGGCAATGCCTTGTTGTATAATAAAAGAAAGACTTGAAATACAGAATAACTTTATGTAAGATACAAAATGGTCTGAAGGTAAGAAGAGAGAGAAAAACACAACTGTAAAAGGGCCAAGGACAGAAGGACGGGCAAATGGAGGAAAGGTGGTGTATAATAAAAGAAAGACTTGAAATACAGAATAACTTTATGTAAGATACAAAATGGTCTGAGGGTAAGAAGAGAGAGAAAAACACAACTGTAAAAGGGCCAAGGACAGAAGGACGGGCAAATGGAGGAAAGGTGGGGAGGGTGAACAAGAGCTGCGGGAGAAAATTCTGGGGAGGAAGGCGGGCAAAGGGTGGAGCTTGGACCGTTGCCTCAAGAACTGATAGCCCAAGGGAGGCAGATATAAAAGGCTGGTTCACCCAGGTGGGAAAAGCAGCGTGAAGCCGAGGTAGGCACACAGACCCAGGTCGGCAGGGGACGGCTGCTGCTGCGGTCTCTGGGGAAGGGGTGAGACGCCCAGAGCAGGAGAGACCCGGTCCGGGATGCCGCGCGCGTTCTTGTTCCACGTCCTGGGAGTCTGGCTGCTGCTGAGCCAGGTTCCCAGAGCAATCTCAGCCGGCTGGATGGACGAAGTCATCAAGCTGTGCGGCCGCGAGTTAGTCCGCGCCGAGATCGACATCTGCAGCAACATGTACTACTACTACTACAGGGAGAGGACAGGGGTGAGGCAGAAGGAGACCCCTCGCAAGTCTGGACCACCTGCAGGTGAGAGCGCCCGCCCTCCGGTCGGCTCGCACTTCCCATTGGTTGCCCTTGGGCTGCCAACCAATAGGAACGGCGGCCCGACTCTGCTTTTGCAGGTGCCTAGAACTCTGGGCTTTTCCTTCGTAACTTGCTTTACTGGAAAGGGTCTCACCGGGAAAACCACCAGAGAAGGAGGAAAATGCGAGAATAGCAAACAGCCTCAACAGAGAGGCGCTCGGTGCCCTCCCCACAGGGCAGAATGGGGAAGCTGGGGAGCCGGGGCAGATGAAGCTGCCTACAGCCCCGCAGGAGGCGGGCGCACTCCCTGACCCCAGAGGAAAGCTGAGGGCCAGAGAGCTGGCGGGCTGGGGATGGGCACCTGCACCTGCGTCTCAGACAGACAGGAAAGGGGCAGTGAGCCGGTGGGCTGCTCATCAGCGTGTTTGCGCTCCAGAACGTACGGAGGCAGCACTCTGAGACCTCTGTCAGTGTCCTGGAATGGGAAGACAGTAAGGGCCTGAGGTTTAATGACTCTCCTCCTTGTCAAGAAGCTGGGCTATTATAGCCTATGCCATCGAAAATATCCTTCACTTTCTCTTTTTCAAAAACCATTCCAAAAAGGGGAGTCTAGACTCCCACCTCTTTTAACCGCATCTTCAAGTTCATTTGTGAGAGAGAGGATGGAAAAGAAAAGGCCCTATCCACCTACAAGAGAAAGTGAAGGGCACTAGAGACAAGGGAAGATTACCCTTAGAACATCGCAGCTGAAAACCCTATCAATGATTTCAAGCATTTGGAAGCTGCAATGAATTTGCTTTAATAGCGAGATCTCAAAATTGAGTACAACTCAAATTGGGAATGGGTTTTAAAATTTTTTAATATTTTTAGTTATAAAGCATTTATAATGATAAATGGGAAGCTAAGTTAAAGTAGCAGTGGAAACTCAGAGGTATAGGCTATTCAGTGCAATCGGTCAAATTAAATTCACAGAAAGCAAGCTCAATAACAAACATTAAAGTATTTTATATCGCATATCGCATGTAATTTATGACAAACCACAATTATACGCTATAGCATATGCTGTATGTAAGTGACATGCAAAATTGTGCACACTAAATTCGCTTACTTCTCTTTTATGGGATTTAAAGTATGATTATAAAGTTATCTACTTTTCTACATTGTTGGTCAGAGATTGATTCATTAAATGTCAGTTTTTACATAGTTCTTGCATAAAATTAAGAATACCACAGAGACTAGGAATTTACTGATTAAAAGGAAGGAAGACCAAATTGCATTGCATTTGCATTTGGCTTTTTAGAGTATGTAAGTAGTAATGTTCTTATTAAAGATGAAAATACACATAGATGCATTGGGAAAAATTAAAAGCATGCATAAATATTAAAGACCGAAAAAATTATGTGAATTTAATGAGAAAGTGAAAATTTCTACATTAAAAAACTGGAAAGAAATGCAAAATGTGAATAATTTGCATTTTCACTTTATATTGTGAGCAGTTTCTCACATTGTTCTCCTAAAACATAATTTAACATTTCTGTATAGTATTCTATGTCGTAAATCTGCCATACATATTTATACATTCTTTGGTAGACATTTAGATTTTTTCCAAATTGTTGCAGAAAATGGTTTGCTGAGCACATATACATATAGATATTTGGCCAAATTTCTATTTTATTAGAAGAGACTTGTGATTTTAGTGTATGATTTTTTCCAAATTGTTGCAGAAAATGGTTTGCTGAGCACATATACATATAGATATTTGGCTAAATTTCTATTTTATTAGAAGAGACTTGTGATTTTAGTGTATTTTTAAAGAATTTTTTTTATTGCTACCCAATATGTACTTTAACTGTGGATAACCTCAAAAAATACTGCCCAGGTGGGAATCGGCAGAAATGTTTATATTACTAGGTAAGAATCATTTTAGAAGTAGATGTCAGTAATTTGTGATTCATAGGAGTTCTCAGACCTCTACCTTTACTTTCTATTTGCCATTATATTATTAACTTGTTAGCTAAGCACTTTACCCCACAATATGTGTCATAATAATACACATTGCATACCTTTTAAAAATAAGATATACTGTACTTTTAACTAGATGAGTCCTATGTTAGTGAGACTTGGGTCCATAATACAGTGTTTAAGAGTTGTGTGTGTGTGTTTGAATCCAGATAGATTAGAATATTACCTTTGAGTGTAGGCTCCATAGATGAGTCCTATGTTAGTGAGACTTGGGTCCATAATACAGTGTTTAAGAGTTGTGTGTGTGTTTGAATCCAGATAGATTAGAATATTACCTTTGAGTGTAGGCTCCATAAGCTAAAAATGTTTTGGATTACAAAATGTTTCAAAACAAGTTGAAATAATGCTAATAAAAGGCTGCAAAATACATAGCCTATTAATAAATTTAATACAAACTACAACCGTTTGGGCTGATTGACTAACTGGCTTTAAGTATTTAGAAGGTTACCATCAGCTTTTCCTGGCATTCAATAAGGTCCAACAAAAGAAAGTTTAAGTTAGAGCAATGAGAAGTTTTTATGAGGAAGTTGAGTTAAATCTAGGATGTCTTACTAAAGGAAAAATGTAAAATTTTTGACATACCTAAAAGTGATACAAATTCTCTTCTGTTATTGCCAGTTTAGAAGTTGAATGAGAGGAAGCCTTAGGAGGAAAGACAAAATGCTACAGTATTTTTTTCCCCTCTCCCAAATTCCAACTGTAGAAGGTTGTTGTTAGCTGAAAGGAGAAAACCCGAGACTCTTGCTACAGAAATCTTAGAAGGTGGATCAGCTCTAGGACCATCCCTGCCTAGGTGCAGGGGCATTATTTTCTCTGATGAACAGGCATAAGTTGTTAACCAGGCATTTACCTTCCACACTTAGATTTATATCTTGTGGCCTCTTTGCTTCCATTATTTCAATAGTAACACCTTATTAATAAGCTGAAGGACAGTTTTGCTGTCCATGAGGAAGAGCAGCAAGAACTGATCCAGGTTGACACTACAATTTAAACTTCATCAGTGTTTCTAATTTCTTTGTGTGCTAAAATTCTCAAATTGTGCAATTGGGATAGGAAAGGTTAGGAGATGGTTTACATGACTGAAGGGTTTTTGAGGACAGGAAACACGTTTTCTTTTTATTTATATCCCCTAGCTGGCAGTCCAGAGACAGAGAAACAGTCAATAAATGTTCTACTGAACTGAATGGGCATACAGAGGAGGGAAGATGTCCACTGGTTTCAGTAGGTTCCCAGCTCAAGTTCCAACCTTCATCTTGGACCAGTCTGGGATGCTGTGTAAGAACAGGGGGACACAAAGATCTTGTATAGTCCCTTATCTGCAGCATTGGAACAAACACTGTACAAAGTACATTAGACAGTTTACACATGCCACAGCAGATACTCATTCCTTCTTAAAGTCAGTGACTTTTGGTTAGTGTTCTTTTAACCTATTTCTCTCTTTAATGTAAAATACTATTGATGTGGAGTAAATACTCTGAGGAAGAGAAATTGTTAAACATGTTTGAGAGATGTCAGTGATTCACATCTCTTGCTGATTAGATCAGACCTGTTGGAAATTCTGCCCTTTTAATTTTATCTTGAAGCAGTATTAGAACCATGGAACATTTGATAGCTTAGAAGAATTCATATCCCTTTAGAGGATTATTATCATAACTCAAAAGTTGGGTAGCAATGGAAGAGAATTATTCAGGTAAGAAAAATCCATCTGTGGTCAAACAATGTTTTTGACGACTAATACAACTTCAGAAAGGTGAGAAGTCAATGTCAGGGAGAGTAAAACTGCTATGATAAGAGCAATGAGGGGATCATGAAATCAGATGATAGAGGGCTAAGTGGAGAAAAGCAGAACCTTGGTAATAGTATAGTACGTTAAGCTGCCTGCCTAGAAGTAAGCTAAGTTGTTTACATGTTAGGATACTTGCTGATTCTGTTTCAACGTTTAATTCAAGTGAAGCAATACTTTCTGTTTTGTGTATGCAAAAATTTATACTTTTCCTGAGACTCCTTAACATGAATATCCCCCCCAACCCCCGCTTTCTTTTTTAACTTCACAGAAATCACGCCATCCTCCATGTATGAAGACAGTACTTCACCATCAGAATACCTCGGCTTTGGTACTCATTCCCGAAAAAAGAGACAGATCCATCGCCCACTGAATCAGCAATGTTGCAACTTTGGTTGTACCAGAAGACAAATTGCTAGAGCATGCTGAGATAAAGCCAACTGTGTATATCTCTTCTAATGTTCACGTGTATTCTTGATGACATTTTCACTGATGCCTCTGTCAGGCCTCACTGATTATTGGAACATGAGAAGTCACTGTTAACGTTTAGACTTTTCATTTGGTATGTTAGAAAGTATTATAGTTTCTGTCAGTAATAAATTTTATGCTGAAACCTTTTTCTTTCTTATTAGCAGTATGACTACGTCATTGTTTTTAATGCTGGTAACTTAAAATTACAATAAAATCTTTATTAACTTTCGCCATGCTTAACTTAATACAATGCCTAACATCAGTTACATATAATAGACCAATATGTTTTTAGTGATATTAACTCTTGGATCACATATACACAAAGCCAGAAAACTTGGACATTCCTAATAGATTTTGAAAGGTTTTTGTATCTTATTGAACTATTCATTGCAAACAATCAGATTGGACACTTAATTTAACAGATTAAATTAATTTAATTTAGTTGATGCCATAGAAACTCAAGTATTTTTTAGACTAGGGTTCTGCTCCCAGCTCTAGCATCTAAGAGACTAAAAAGTGAATACTTTTTTTAAGGACAAAAATGAATAGACATTTATTGAAGGCAATAAGCAAACCAGTGTCACAGGTATTGATATTCAATGCTGTACACCACAGATACGTACAATCACTTATGTTCCAATAAAAAACAGACAAATAAAACCCAAGTTAGTATCTTATATTAGAGAACTCGTTTAGTAAGGGAGCATACTTTATGTTCACTATTTTAAAATTCACAAATCATTCCTCTAATTGAAATAACTGTAAATGGTAGAAAAACTCATTAGAAAAATAAATTCATGTTGTTATTATCTTAGTATTTAGCTAGTTTCTTCAACTTGTATACACATACATTTCACCCAGAACTTACAAACAAATGCACTTACATGGCAAGTTAATCCCCTTCATGAAATGTCTGTTCACAGAATTTAAAGGGATTAAGACAGAAATTCTTAAATTTCAAATCCCCATACATGAATAATAATAACCAAGCCTCTAGGGTTTATTAAGTCCTCACTAAGGCCACCTTGTAAAACTTTATAAATGGTGGCAAAACCTCAGAGACAATGAGCCACCTCAGACAAAGCCACCAAATAGTGCTGTCTGAAGTTGAGATTCTAACCCAGAAGAATGAGGGCAATGCCCAGGAAACTTATATCCCAGAGAGGAGAGAGAGGCACCTCCAGACACAGAGGGCAGCTCCCCAGACTCTGCCCTGGCCCACATTCCACATTTGTACCTCTCCGAAAGCCATGGAGGCAGGGCTCCTGGAACCAGAATCCACACTTATTGCCTCTATTGATATGATTGCTTTTTAAGTGGTACAAAGATAATCTGTGGTTACCTATCTACTATAAATATGCAAATAATTCCTTTAATATTTAAATATCTAATTCAAGTGCTATTGAAGTTTACCCCAAACTCTCATGAGAAACTGATAGTTGTAAGCTTAATTTATTTCTCATATGAAAAATTTACTCTCTTTATACATATGTATCAGTTAGGATTGTGTTTTCTGCAAATTACAGAATACTGTGCAAAAATCATACCCAAGAAGCCCATGGAGTAAGCATCTGACATGACTTAGCTTCTGAATGATGCCAGCAGTTTCCTCCCGCTTTCCAATCTGCCGTGCTTAGCATATAGACTTCCTAGATCAGTTGAACAATTAGTCCCTGTTTTAGCCATAAGTGTGGGTTTTTGGTATGGTAGACATGACCCGTCAACCAACTCTTGATTATTTGGAAATTGTTGGTGACCATTCTGTCCAAACTTTGCTGCTGATTTTGCAATACGTAGTTCAGTCTGGCTCTACGATTCACTTTGATTCATATATTAACATTCAGCCTCTGCTTGATTTCTAACATGCTCAGGTTAAATATAGTAATCACAACTTCCCATTCCCTGTAATCTCTTGGTGTGCATCAAGTCCTATTGGAACAAATGTAAAGCAAAGTGTAAGACCATGAGAGGAGTTTGCCAGGATATGTTGGACTCATATTTGGCCAATTTAATGTGGCATGCCATTGATTTGGAAATAATTCTTTCAATTCCCTTTTACTATATATATCAGAACAATTTCCTGTTAACTATGAAGTTATAACTTTTGGTTTTAGTATGTTTTTGTACAAGTATCCAGGGACAAATTCTTCAGTTGAATACATCTGAGAAACAAATTGTTCAGTTGATCTGTGGAAAGTTCAGAGAGTCCCTATATGGTTCTTACCTCACCACAGAAACAGTTTTCCCTGTTGTTAACATCTTGCACTTGTGTGGTACATTTGCATCAATTGATGAACCAATATTGATAAATTATTATTACTAAGTAAAGTCTACAGTTTACAGAAGGATTCACTCTTTGTGTTGAACATTCTATGGATTCTTAAAAAAATTAATTGACCTATTTTAGTTTTAGGTTCACAGGAAATTTGAGTGGAAGGTACAGAAAATTAACACAACTCCCTCTACCACACACTTCTACAGCCTTCCCCACCGTTTGTACATTTCTTACATGTGGTACATGTGTTACATTAATGAACCAACATCGGCACATCATTATCAACCAAAGCCCATTGTTTTCATTAACTCTCTGTGTTGTACATTGTATGGGTATTGACAAATGTTGCTTTCCACTACCAACAAGTGAGAATTCCTATTGCTTCACATCCTCGCCAACATTTGGTGGCATCAGTGTTTTGGATTTTAGCCTTTCTAATAGGTCTGTAGTAGTATCTCGTTGTTTTAATTTGCAATTCCCTGATGATGTATGATGTTGAACATCTTTTCATATGCTTATTAGCCATCAGTACATCTTTTTTGGTGAGATGTCTCTTTAAATCTTTTGCGTATTTTAAAATTAGATCTTTTTTGTTTTCGACTGGTAAGGGGATCATAACCCTCAGCACGGTGTGATCTGCACCACGCTCAGCCAGTGAGCGCACCGGCCATCCCCATATAGGGGTAGAGTGCTACCAGCACCGCACTCTACCGCGTGAGCCACGGGGCCGGCCCTTATTGCTGAGTTTTAAGGGTTCTCTGTATATTGTGGATAGCAGTCCTTTATCAAACACGTGTTTTGCAAATATCTTGTCCCAGTCTTTGCCTGTTGTTTCGTTCTCTGAAGAGTCTCCTTCACAGATTAGAGAGTTCTAATTTTAAAGTAGTCTAACATCAATTTTTATTTTCTTGGATTGCACATGCTATTGTATCTAAAAAGTCATTGACAAGCCCATAATCACATATTTTTTCCGATGTTATCTTCTAGGAGTCTTATAATTTTGCATTTTTTAATTGCAGTCAAATACACATATCCAAAATGTTATCATTTTAACTATTTTTGAGTGTGCAGGACATTCACATTGTTGAACTCCATCTCCAGAACTTTTTCATGATCTCAAACTGAAACTGTATTCATTAAACAGAAACTTCCCATTCTGCCACCATAAATTCCTGGAAACCACTATTTTGCTTTCTGTCTCTATGAAATTGACTATTCTAGATTCCTCATACAAGTGGAATCATATAATATTTGTCCTTTTGTGTCTGGCTTATTTCACTTGCAATAATGTTTTGAAAGCTTATCAATGTTGTAGCATGTATCAGAAATTCATTCCTTTTTATTGTGAAATAAAGTTTTATTGTACATGCATATAACCACATTTTTTAAATTCGTTTATTGATTGGTCAACATTTGGGTTATTTCCACCTTTTGACAGTTGTGAGTAATGCTGTTATAAACATTAGTGTATAAATATCTGTTTGACTTTCTGCTTTCATTTCTTTGGGGTACATACCTAGAAGAAGAATCCCTGAATCATATGCTCATTCTGTTTCTAACTTTTGAGAGACCACTATACTGTCTCCCACAGAGGCTGCACCATTTTACGTTCCCACCAACAGTGCACCAGTGACAACGTTTCAATTTCTCCACATTCTTAACAACATTTGCTATTTTCTTTTGGGGATAATCACCATCCTAATGAACGTGAAGTGGTATCTTATTGTGCTCCTCTTTTCTTTTTTGATTAATATTTTTAATTGACAAATCACAATTATATTTTCTTTTGGGGATAATCACCATCCTAATGAACGTGAAGTGGTATCTTATTGTGCTCCTTTTTTCTTTTTTGATTAATATTTTTAATTGACAAATCACAATTGTATACATGTACAGGGTACAATGTGATGTTTTGATTTATGTGTACAATGTGAAATTATTAAATCAAGCTAATTAATGTATCCATCATCTCATTTACCTGTCATTTTTTTTTTTTCCTTTTTTTGTCTTTTTCCGTGTCCGGCAACGGATCGCAACCCTCAGTGTCGCCCCCGCACCGGACCAGGACC